CCGCTACAGTTTTACAAGAAGATTCGAATGCACTGATTTCTGGAAATAATATCGACGGAATGTATATAAAGAAGAAAACAGCATTTGATCTTTGCATATGTAACAGTTAGCGAAAAAAATCATGCTGTTATAACTTATTTTAGTAGTTTATTAGTTATGAACAACATATTTGTATCATTTCATGTTTTCCCTTCTACCAAACTTTGCGATTTAGTTTGTATTTACTTCGACACCAATACATAATCAATTGTATTGAAAAAATTTGTCGAATACGAACATATCACACTACCATTTCCATCTGTTTATTTCGCTACTCAATAGGTCCATTCGTATTATAAGTATACGGTATGACAAGTTTGTTGCAAAGTCAGTAATTACTTTTCGTTAGTTAGGCGTCATTCTGATAATAGTTAAAGTGATCCGACTTATATACGTTACATTATGAATATTTGAACGTGTGAACCTAACCAGCACATCATTTTCACAATTATAATTAACTTACTGTTGTACTCAACGTAAAAGCATTCAAATAATAAACTGAACATTTCGTTATGCTTATACTCCAATTTTTAGCCTTTTTAGCCTTTTCGTTAGCCTTTTTCGTTATGCTTATACCTGTTCAATTAATTGTTATCCTTACAGTTTTCGTTTTCAGAATTTTGAATATGCAGTTGTTTCTGTTATCATATTTCCCACACGTTTTCCCACTCCCATCAACAATCGTCATGTTCCTCCCCACTACTTCACATCTCCCTTCACAAATCATCCATAATGCCCCACTATAACCACTTGCCCACTATACTAATCACATCATATTATAAAAGAACTTAATAAAGGAGGCGTTAAAACAAGAATAGGTGAAAGAAGAGTATACGTAACAAGTATTTCTGCAAAATCAGTATAGCCTCAAGTCGTAAAATTTTCGCACAATAACAAGGTATGAAGTTTAATGCAGAAGGCTATGTCATTTATTATGATGACTCCAGAGTGGGATTGGGCGGCATACTAATGCAACACGGTAAGTTTAATTGGATATGCTTCAAGGAAACTGAGAAAACACTAAGANCGAGAGGTCGACTCGATACTCACTAAGGTCAATTAATATATATATATATATATATATATATATATATATATATATATATATATATATATATATATATATATGATGTATTCAAATCATGGAATTTACAAGTATCAACAGTTTATGGCAAGTGGTATAAGTCAAGAACATTACAGCATCAAGTTTATAATTTATCATAGGAGATAATGGCAAATTAAAGCATGTATAGGCTTTTCCACAATTTACATGCGCACATAATACCGAGGCGACGACCCGATCCAACAGAAATAAAGTGTGCACTTGCCGAGGGTCGACGGCGTGCCTATAGATGCATCTATTCATACTGAGGCGATCAGCCCGATCCACAAATAAGGATGAAATATCAAGTTCACACACATGGCACATAAATGGTCAAGGATACCAAATCAAACTTAATTAACTATACAAATATGCTCCTATCCCCTCTTAAGTCTCTAGTACACGGTAGACGTTCATAACAACGATTTAACATAAGAGATATATTTAATAGGCATGTTGTAGGTCCTAAGCTACCCGGACATTTATCATAGTAGTAGCTTCGCACGGGCTCTCGTCACCTAACGCGTGCGTAGTCCCCGCATTTAGCAATAAACACTCAAACACTAAACCTAAGGGGACAATTCCCTCTTACGAGGTTAGAAAGGAGACTCACCTCGCTCCAAAGTGCACTTCCAATGTCCAAGAACGAGCCCAAGTCCTTAATTCGAAGCCGGACAATCCCAAACTAATCAAACGAAGTAAGAACTAGTAAATAAAGGCTTACAAGGTTGAATTCTAGCTATTTAAACAATTTCCTAACCATTTACACAAGTTTCCTAAATTCCGACCCCGGGCCCACGTGCCCGGACTCCGAGATTTTTCGAAGAAAGTTGTTCTCTATCACCTAAGGATCATAAATATATGATTTCTAGTTCACTACATGGCAAATTATGTGATAAAACCTTAGTTTTCATTAAACCCTAGGTCTAGCTCAAATCGCTTGATTTTACCTAATTTTTAGTGTTAAATCTACCTAATGTTTATGTATTTGAACTAAAAATGAGTGGGGATTACTTACCTTGAAATGTTATGTTGAAGCCTCCTCTTTGGAATCACCAAAATCGCCTAAGTGTTGAGAGTAATATGGAGGAAATGAGTTTGGGTTCGTATTAATGAATCCTTCTGCCCCCAGTTATTTTCGCATCTGCGGAAGTATTTCCGCCTCTGCGGAATTTGGCCGCTTCTGCGGCTTTTGGGATTTGGGGCTCGACCGCTTCCGCGGTCTGGGGGCCGCATAGGCGGAATCGCTTCTGCGGTCCCTGGGCCGCTTTTGCGGTTTCCCCTGGCCTGCCCCTTCTCCGCTTCTGCGAAGTATTGACCGCATCTGCGGTCCCGCTTCTGCGGTCCAAGAACCGCAGATGCGGTTATGACAGAAGCAGCAACCTTCAGTCATTTTCCAAATTCTAACTTCACTTGAGCCTCGCTCGTTTGACGTTCGAGGCTCCCGTACCCCGCCCGAACATACCGACAAGTCTGAAATCACGAGGCGGGCCTACTCGAACCCTCGAAACACTCAAAACAACGCTAAATCGGGGAATCAACCGCAAAACCAAATGAATCAAATCATTGAACTTCAAGTTCTTAATTCTCCTCCAACGGGTCAAAACGCCCTTAAACTACTCGGATTGACACCAAATTTTACGGGTAAGTCTTAGCTGATATTTCGGACTTGTACCAAGTTTCAGAATCGAGATCCGAACACGATACCTAGGAAAACAATGATTTCTTAGTTTATTTAAACCTTTGAAACTTTAACTTAACAATTTCACATAAAAATTTATTACTCGGGCTAGGGACCTCGGAATTCGATTTGGGCATACGCCCAGGTCCCATATTTTCCCACGGACCCTCAGAAATTGTCAAATCACGATTCTGGGTCCGTTTTCCCAAAATGTTGACCGAAGTCAAACTTGGCCTTTTTAAAGAAACTTAAAGAAGCAACTAGACTTATTCTTGCTCAAAGCTCTTCTAACTTCTGAACCACCCATCCCCGCAAGTCATAAATTAGCGTAAGCAAGTGCGGGAAGTCTTATTTAAGGGAACGGGGTTTAAAAATGCAAAATGACCGGTCGGGTCGTTACAATATGCGTTAAAATAGTTTCATGATGGTAGGTGCATGCTAATCTCCAATTAAAAAAAAATTAACCATTTCGTACAAAGACCATCTTCTTGGAAACGATATATTCTGTCGTACAATCCACATTTTTTGCAATAAAAACAACAATTGTTCCATCAATGTGGAAGGCATGCACCTTATAATTCAATGTTGGAATGAATGTAGATACAACCACAGTCTTACATAACAACATTTGCGAGGGATAGTAAAAGTACTATCTGATATTTCTCTGTTGCTCAGACCATTTGTTTTTTTCTTTACTGCTCTTCGTTGATGCTCTGTAAAAAAATACAGCTAATACATCAATTATCAAAGATAAATACTTTATCTATCTGTCAAGTTGCTTCATTTCATCGATGAACATAAATAAGGTAAACAATGAAATGCTATTTAATATGACTTCATGCGTTATAAATTATACTCAAAATTTTGATGTTTGACTTTATAATTTTCGTTATAGGTGTTGGAGATCACCATACGTCTGAACTAGCTTCACAGGTTTTGGAAAGTTTCTTCAAATACTACTGTCATGCACTTCATTCATACGTAGCCACCTATATTACTCTCAACAAAATTCATCTATTTATTTTTAATTTTACTCCTTTTGTATTCGATCGCTAATTCTAATTTGCAATATACATATTTTTATTATCTCTGTACACTCTTCTTTTCTTATAATTTATCCGCTCATCGCGCGGGTACTATACTAGTATGACTTACAAGCTAAAGAATTACAATGTCACACAAAGAAAACACTTCAATAGAAGAAAAATACAATCTATCTATTCAACTAATGCATGCTTCTTCTGTGTTCTGTGCTAATACAAACATCTCTTTGCTTTTCATCCCTTTTATCAGCATTGCATCTCTAAGAAAATATTTCTCTGGAGGTTCGAGTTGTTATGCTTCCAAAAATGGTTGCCGGACTTATACTTGTATTTTCTTTATAGAAGAGGCAATGCAGCAACAAAAATTCTTGTTTGTGCAATTATGAGGGGACTATGGTGCCAATATAGCCAAATCCAGCAATTGTAAATGTAATAACTTGAAAAAAGATGTAAAAGAAGGATTGGCTTTTCCCATAAAGAACATCATAGCATCCACAGAAGAAAAGGAAAGCTGCAAATCCCAATTCTTGTGGAAGAATCCTGTACAAATTAGGCCAACTGATGGTTAAAAACTGGTACATTCTGATGTGTTATCCTATCAAGAATATGAAAATTAAGCTTCATTCAAGAAGGAAGTTCAAGGGAGTTTCCTCACCTATCTCCGAATAGAGATACTCGAGGTTTCTTGGTTGGTTTCGTTTTATCTTTGTTCTTGAGAGCATCACCTAGTTTATTATTAGTACAAAAAGTTATTAATACCTAATAGAGCACCGAAAATGATACTATTATAAATTTAATATCCAAAATAAAAGATTTCCACATCAATTAATCTTCATGGAAACACATTTCACATCACGTGAATACACCTACTCCATTAGTCCTATATATTTAATTTAGTTTGATTCGATGCCGTTAAAAATTGAACATTTGTTGGGAACATGTTGAGTCATGTTATATATGTGCAATTAACCTGTAGTACATTATGCATAATTCCTTGTACTTGTTGTTGACAGTATAACAAAAACTACTCTGGCACAAACACAGGTCATTAATTTCTCCGTCTGATGATTTCTCAATTCAAAGGTATCTTTTTCAGCGCCTCTCTTTACCATTCTTTACAAAAATTTCCCAAAATTTTCAGTTCAAAATCAAACAATCTCAAAGCTTTCTCATCATCACACGTCCTGGGAAGAAAAATGGAATCATCTGCAGATACGCTTCTTTTACTTTCTGGAAAATCAGAGGAGGATAATGACGTGGCAAAGGTACTCAAGAATAACAATACCCTTAAAACTGGTGAAGGAGTTGAGCTTGTTCTGCATTCCGAGGTGAAATTGGAAAACGACGACGCTTTTCGAATTGAAGAATACTTCAACTCCCTTTCGACTAGGCGTTTTGGGAGACTCCTCATTTACTCTCCCAGATTGTCCTCTACTCATGACGTTATTTCACAGTAAATTACCCACTCCCTATGCTCAGCTTTTGCTTATATTTCCATACTTAAGTTATGTTCTACAAAATCCAATACTGAGACTTTCCTTGTAGATATTTTTTTTGTTGACATGTTATTTTAGACTGATGCTGTATATAACTCTAAAATTCTTATAGTTACTTGTTTGTTATTGTGAAAAATCATTAATGACAAGTTAAGCCTGCTTGCTTATTGGTTATTGACACTGAATTTTGGTTCTGTTAATTTAATAATTTGTATATGGCAGAAATAACTCTGACTTCCCAGTTGGTACGGTGTGTGTTGCGGATGTTCAACTGAAAGGGAGAGGTATGCGGTCTTTTTTATAAAGATTATTGCATTTGTGCGTTTTTAACTTTCTAAGGTCCAGTTTTTTGTTTTGATTTGAGTTGTACACTTTCAAACGTAGGACGGTTATGTTCCAGTAAATAACAGTTTACGTCTGTGTTACAATCCAATTAAGTGCTAATTAGCACATGCTGGTAGTCCATTTTGTGCAACAATAAGAAATAATTATAGAACTGGACTGTTCTCTATGACATATAAAACGATCAACTTTCACAGCTATGTTTTTCTTTATAATCGTGTTGTTCTAGCCAGCTTGCACGCACCTCGACCATTCCGCAAGGTACGTGCTATCTCACCAGCATAGCTACCGGATAACTCCGTCCAACCAAGGCTTGGACGGATGTGAAGAAATCACCTAATGCTCAAATCCTGAGACCTTGCGATTCTCAGCCTACTTCATTGACCACTAGGCCACAACCTTGAGTGCATCTTCCATAGCTATGTTAAGAAGGCTGAACACTGTATAAGGAGATTAGAGGTGGAGTTTGGCACCAAATGATAGGTTTCGTTCCCTCCACAAACTATGAAATATTGAGAACGGCTGTTTGGACCTTTAAAAAAGTGTAAATATGTGTAGTTTTGCGTGTAACCTTTTCCATTAACAATGAACAGAAGTTAGAGAAAGTCCTGTTCTTTATCGTTGTTTCAAAGTTAGGGTGTTATTTGTGCAATTGAAAAACATTAAGAAAAATGCATCACTGTCATAAACTAGGTATAAAAAATTGTAGTTGCTCTATTTAATGTATTGGAGATTTTTTGCTCTTATCATGTTTGCCCAAATTATTTATGTTTTACTTTGATTTACTTATGTATTTATTTTACATCTGAAGGCCGTTCGAGTAATGTGTGGGAATCACCAAAGGGTTGCCTTCTGTTTTCTTTTTCAATACAAATGGAGGACGGTAGAGTGGTGCCACATATACAGTATGTCGTCTGTCTTGCCATGACAGAGGCCATTAAGGCTGTCTGTTTGGAAAAGGTAAGTACTTATATTAGAAAGATGTGTACTGGCATCCTGAAATTGAAATTGGAATGGTAAAGTAATGTATGGGAAAAGTAAGAAGGAGATAAGTGTGATTTTATGTCCAAATTGCATAAACAATGAACTTAAGTTTTCTCACATGTCTTTGTAAGTTTTATATCCTCTATCTGGTTGTATCAATTGAAACATTATAGTTTTACACATATATTTTATATAGTTTTGCCATTTAGTTCGTGCACTGCGAAATTTAAGCAGTTATTGATGGATGGTCTGTGAAGAATTGTATACAGTCTTGTGGACTATTATTTGTTAGTGCTGATTGGTCTGCTAAAGAGGATATCATGTTCCCGAAAGAATGTTAGTTGAGTTAGGAGGTATTCGGGACTAGAGTGATTGTAAAAGGAAAATTTGGATAAATATCAGGGCCCTTTGAATTAGTCAATGTAGGATACACTTAAATCTAATTTCAGATAGACTCAGCTAATTCAACTGTCTATGATCTGGAGCATTGATGTAGTTTGTTGGTTCTTCTTGAGTTACAAGATTCTCTATCAGTCTTTTCTATTAATTACTTTATTTTCGTCTACAAATGCATAAATGACGAATGATTTATCTCTTCATGTATTGTGCTGTATTCGTGAAAAGAGAGTGTTTCCTGAATTTTATGGTACTTGGCTAATAGAATGGTCCTAATTGCTCACTCATGCACATATAGGTAGTGTATTTGAACAATGCTAACTGGACGCAGATGGAAAAAAGAGGAGTGGTAGGACAGAATTTGTAGAAACTAGCTGTGTGCTGCATAGAAGCTAAGCGTTACATGTAGTAGTTTATTTTACATAGAACGTCTGTTGATATGCTTACCTTTTTTCCTTGTTATTCTTGGCTACATAATGTGCCACAGGGAACCCCAGAGATTGATGTTCGAATAAAGTGGCCAAATGATCTGTATTTAGGTGGCGTTAAAGTGGGTGGCATTCTTAGCACATCGGTATATAGGTCGAAGAAGTTCTATGTTAGTGCTGGTAAACTGTCTCACTTGTCAACTTATCCAACAAAAAAAACGTTTCACTCATTCAATGATATTCACTATATATTCTTCCTCATACCGGAAATGGATTTTTTCCTTCGATTTATAGAAGTTTGCATGCTAAGTACAAACTTGACGGGTTTTCAGATGTTGCAAACTTAATGAATTTGGTTAGTCAGCAATCTTTCTTACACTTGCAGTCTTTTTTAACATAGCTAACTTTCTTACCCCCCCCCCCCCCCCCACACACACACCCCTCAGGATCATTCTAAGTAGACTGATGAATATCTGTAATTATTTCTATCTCCTCTCATTGTATCAATTTGGAGAAACTACATGGAGTGCTTGGGTATTGATACTTATTTCACAGGAGTTGGACTGAATGTCGGGAATGAGAAGCCTACTACATGCTTGAATGCTGTTTTAAAGAAAGTGGATCCTCTCTCACGTGAATTGAAGAGAGAAGATGTTATTGCAGCCTTTTTCAATAAATTTGAGAACCTGTATGATGTTTTCTCAGAACAAGGTAAATTGCCATTATCTACTCATTTGAGCAACCATAGTGTATACAATCTGATTTTCAATTGTTGAAATACAAAACTTCAGGGACTAGATTTCCCAAGCAAAGTCAAGTGGCACAATTGTAACTAACGAGAACCTTCAATGCGGCTAAATAGCAATACACCTAGCTTCCTAAAACACTTAACTTCTCGAACTCAGAAACAGAGCTATCTTAAACATTCGAAAATCTTCAGCATTTGCGAAAATCCTAAAACCCCAATGATAAAGGGAAAAGATCTCCAACCAGGCCTTTAAACCTGTCCAGTCCTCTTTTGATCAACTCATTTAGAGATTATAATCATGTTTTACCTTTGAATTTTCATTTGTTCTTTAATTTCATGTTGCAATAAGACATTGTTGTCTGCCCTGCTATTGACACACACCTTGTATATAAGTGGAAGTGGGATAGAGGGGCAGGCCAACACTCCGAGTGTCGAACCTGTGGGCAAACTAGTGTTGGGTCAGCTAGCTCATAAGGGGGTTTTCGGTTATCCAAAAAAATAATTAAAAAAACGAAATTGCTGTTTGCTAACATCTAATTGAGTAATATCCAAATATTGGCGGGTCATCAAATTCTCTCTTCGTTTAATCTTATGTGAAGGTGTATGATTGGGTGTAGAGTTTAAGAAAGATAAGACTTTGGAACTTGTGATCTTAAACTAAGTTGCTCGGACACGGGGTGCGGATCTAGAGGTCAGATCCTTCGGAATGTAAATTCTAAGATTCGGGATATGGATCCTAGTACAGATACGGGTTCAGGGATCCGGCTAAAAATAGTTCAAAAAATAAAAATATAAAAATATCTCTAAATTATAGAAAAAATTGTGAAATACTTACGTATACCTTGTAGAGTGTAGATTTTCATTTTTATTCTCAAGTTGTAGATAAATAAAGGATTAATCTTCTAGATAAGGTATGCTATTTTCTTCAAATTTACCCTAGTTTTGGTTCTGATTTCGGGAATCAAATTGTATCTCGTCTAGTATTTTTCCGTTCGTCGTGGTCAAAGTATCCAAAATTATTTGACCAAATCCGGTACGGATCCCATACCCACACTTATACTGGTGTTGTGTCGACACGGGTGCGGCACCTAAACTGCCATGTCCGAGCAACTTAGATCTTAAACATGCCATGACTATTGTGTGGCTATAAATCATGTGATTAAAGGTAAAATGGTAAGTTTAAAGTTAAGTTGCTTCTAAATGTAGGAGGGTATCATTCTTTTCTGAACAAACTAAAAAGGAGAGAGTGTCACATAAAATGGAACAAAAAAGTAATGTTTGTGAGAAGATAACTCTTTCTCCTCCCTTGTCCCCTTGCTCTTTCTTTCTTGGTGGGCCCTGTTGATGTTACAAAATGAAATAAAGTTAGCGAACATCCAATATGAATGTGGGGAGTCCTTGTCTCTACGAGCTGTTCACATATTTTCACAGTGCCAAAGATAAGCTGGTTCTTGTAGGAAGATTTCAATAATATTAAGCATAGTTGTGGTGATGCTGATGAGATTTTAATTTGCTAATTTTATTTAGAATTTGTCACAAAACTATGTATATCAAACCATACTAGCCTCTCTTCTCCCTGTTCTCAGTGTTAGTTCAGTGATAATATCAAAATTATCATATACTAGACTTTCTTTCCACTTGCCTCTGCCATTTTCTTAGCAGGTCTATTTTTGGCATATCCGTTTTCCCCCATTGAGATGTTATTTAGTTTCAGCAGATGAAATGGAGGTTCATTAAAGAGAATAATCCTATATTTTTTTCATTTGGTTGGTTAATGTTGAGCTTGCTGTCAAGGGTATTAGTTAGTCATGGAAATTTGAGATCCTTCGAAATTGTTGTGAGGTGGTATTCCGAGGCGTTGTGTATTAGATGCTAGGAATTCATATCCTCAGTTTTGTGCTTTTTCTATCAACTGCATTCTTTGCTTTTTCTGATGGTCTTAGAACCGCTACCTGAAAATCATGGAGTGGTTTTAGGTGAGAACGAGCTACTTGTTCTAGGGGGCTATGTTAACCCCCCCCCCCCGACCCACAC